TCCAGGAAAGCCAGCTATGAGCCTTTATTGGTTGTTAAGAAGGTAGCTGAAACAAAAATTGACCAGTGAAGCATTTTGAGTTTAACACCCACCCCTGAAATATGGCTTAACTATAATACCTATCAATATATCAGAATCCTTAAAGAGCATTGTAAAGCATTTCAATTGCCATTATGTTTAAGCACTTTTAAGTAATGTATTAACACATTTCCTTGCATTATATTATTTAATATAACTGTCCCCATGTTTTTGTATATTAAACATATGAATTCAAAATATTCCCTTCCTTTCTAGCTAGTTTATGAAAAACAGCAACAACCTTTCCACTGAAAAGGAGGAAATAAATAAAAAACAAACAAATATTTGCCTTTCTTTCATTTTCAGTACTTGCTTATAAATAACAAAGGCATGTAGTGTATATATAAAAGAAAATTACTTTCAAAATGTAAACACCAAATATTCTGCCTGTTAAACATGAAAAATACCAGGGAACTGGCATTTATTTCTCACATTTTTCTCTAGTTGACTAAGCAAATGATAAATGACACTAACATAAACCAAGAATATATGTAGAATAGATTGAGATTCAATTTGGAATAGCTGCCTTTGGGTCATCTGACATCAAGCAGTTGACCCACTGTTGCAGGGTAATCACACTGTATACTGTGGTTTTCTTTTGTGAATTTTGTTTGCACATAGACGGCTCCACAAAGGCTCTGCCACCAAGAAGCCAATTAATTTGTCTTCGTGTCCTCTGCTGATTTCCCCTTTCCTTAAGTTTTCGGGAAAAATATTTTTCTCTAGAGGCTATTAGTACCCATGTTATTATCATTGTTGTTGACATTATGATCATTATAATTTTATTAAAAATACTAACAGCAATAAAAAATAAAAAATAATCTTTCCAAAAAACAAGGAAAAGGGTAAACAGTTGAACTAAGTACGAAGAGTAAATGACTCCTTGGTGATTAGGAACTTGCTGAGCCATCTTTGCGTAAAGAAAAACCAATAAAACGAGGGACACAGTAGACATGGCACATATTGTAACCATCCCAGCAACAGTGGGTTAAAATCAGTTTCAAATAAGGGGGAAAGGAAATAATGAAACAGTCTTCCATTGCAATTTTGTATTGCGTTATTGGTGTCATGGTGTCACTTTCAACATAAACATGGATGGTAACACATATAATATGCTTACAAGTCTGTTAATATGCAACATTTTAAAATTGTTTCCAAGCCTTTACTTAGCATAAAGAAGTCACTTAAAAAGTAAATATTGCCTAACTAGGAAGTATATAATTCATATCTGGTATTCTCACATCACTGAGCAAATCAAATATAAAAGAAATATACGTCCAGTGAGCACTTAGTCAGAACATAAAACCAAAAAGCACTTTCTTTTTTGGAGGAAAGCTAATACTGGCTACAGACATTTATTTCACTGCCTTCGAAAAGTACCGTAAAAATAGGCTTATATACCATTTCCCAATTAGGCACTGGTTGAGATATTTGGTTAATTCAGCTAAGGAAAAAAAAATAAAAATAAAAAGTGTCTGAATACAGTTTTAAAAGAACCATGCACAAGACTTACAGTCTAATGAGTAAGATACAGATGACTTGTTTACAGAGATGAAATAAAACTATATAGAATTATCTATTTTGGTACACAAAACCTGTATGATAGTGGTCAACATGGTTTAAACTGTGTAAATTCAATTGTGCAACATCCGTCTATTCATCACACAATCTGCGATGATACTGATATCTATATCAATTATTCTATTGTATAAAAGTTCCATATTACATAGATTAGCCATGTTAGAAAATATATGAGCTTTGTTTACATCATGTAAATCCACTTAGTGCACCAAATCTTTATGTGAAATATGATAATAATAATAATAATAATAATAATAATAATAATAATAATAATAATAATAATATAATAATATAATAATAATAATATAGAATTACATAATGTAAGAAAATACAAATGAAGATAACCAATGTACACTTTCTTATTATTAATAATTAGCTACAAAGCACCGATATCTGTAATTAATAATAATGACAATAATAACAAATAACAGGCACAATAATGACAATGAAAAATAATCAACAATAATAATTATCATCATCATAATAATAATAATAATAATAATAATAATAATAATAACAACAGTATAGACATAATAATAGAAATAAAAATTATAGTAATAATAATAGCAATAACAATGTCAGGTTTCAAAAATCTGTTGGTACTATCTTAATGTTTCAACAATTCCTAGTTATCTAAAAACAAGAATGTATATGGTGGGTTGCTAACAATTAAAATAATGACTAATGTTTAAAGTATATGATATAACAAAGAAAATGTTGAAACACTGGAAGATACTACTAATATTGTACCTTGAATCTTTATAATGCAAAATACAGCATGTCATACACTTCTTGTAAAACACATTGTATTTTCATTATTAATTTCATATTGTTTGAGATTCCATGAAATACTGATACATATACTTGAACACCTTTGAAAGCTTACTGAAGACTCATACATGGCGTTAGTGTCGCTTTAGTTTCAAAAGAGAAACGCTCTACTTCTTAAAGGTTTTAATGCAATTCCCAATACTTCAAATTCATAAATCTTTTTATGTTAATGATGCACACATATTAATATTTTGTGAATGGTTCAGTAATGAGAACAATCCCCTATGCATATAGTAACATTCTAATTAATCTAATTAATAAATATCAAATCCTCTGCTTTTCTTTATTGTATAACAGTCAAAACCTTTACTTGAAGTTCTGAAGAATTTACAACCCAAAAGTCATTGTTACTGCCATTTAAATAGTAGAGTGACTGAAGTTTATAGCTAAACAACACAAAATATATGGAGTCTTTTAAATGCAATGACATTATCCTAAACCAATAAATAAATAATAAAAAAAAAAAAAAAAAAAAAAAAAAAAAAAAAAAAAAAAATCTTTTCTGGTTTAGCATCAATGCAAATAAAATGCAATTGGACATGTAAGATACAAATATAAAATACCTAATAAATTTGAGAATAAAGTCTTCTTCAACCTATATCAACATAACTGCTCTTCAACTAATGCTAAGATGACACTGCCATGAATAAAAAAATAACTCCTTATATGGTCTGGATTTCATATAACAAATGACAGTCTTGAAAATGAGATAAAAGATGAGGTACCGTACTTCCTATTTCTGCTTTAATCTAATGGAACATACTGTATTAAGATTCAGAATTACGTTACCAACGAAATCATGTCTTGAGAGCAACAAAACTTTGGCAACTACTTCCTATTTCACAAATAGATTCGAAACTCCTCTTTGCACAATATTCTTTAATATATGTGACAGTAAGTAATAGCAAAGGCAAAATAAGGGTAAACTTTCCTTTCCTATTCTGATGAGCATATCCATTCAAAATCAACTCATCTGCAAGGCACTTCATATACAAGCATGGAAGAATAAGTAATACCAACATGATTACCTAATCTAAAATATTTCTTCCTTCTTCATTCCATGTATTAAAAGAGATCTGATACTTTATAAAATTTGTGTCTAAAGAAAGTGAAATGTCTATAAACTATCAATACTTGTTTGGGACCCTAATTTGTAACTTCTTTTTACATCCAACATGTAATAATGAAATAAGATTTAGAAAACAGTTGAACTTCACTGTTAATTCTCCATGAAAATCATTACTACCAGCAGGCTACTGCTGTAGATTTTAGTTACTATCTCCCTATTAAAATAAGTAATCTACATCTAATATGATGTTGCAGTACAAATTTTTGTTTCTGGATACATACATTAGAAAATTCATCATGGCAATCCTTATTCATAAAGTGAAGCCATTCACATCACACATTTTCTAATATCTTACTATTGCAAGGCTATTGCACATTGCAGAATAACCAAAAAACTATCAATGATACCAATGCATGAATGTGTGTAAAACATCATAATCCTTCTAACTTTTCATTTCAAACTGAAAATATAAAATATGCAGAATGAGAAAAAAAATATACTATACATATATATATCTCTATATATATCTGCTCTGTCTGCTACTGACTGTCACATAATAACCACCATTAACAGTGAGATGTGTGGAAGGTTAAAATGCTGGTTTCTATCCTCTTTTGTATTTGCCCAGGAAAGCTTGGCAGTTGGGGCAATTATGCTCGACATTCATGCACTCGTTAATACAGCAGGGAATAAGGCAGCAACCAAGCCAGCACCTGTGGGAGGGAAAAAAAGAGAGAGAAAAAAAATATATTATCAAAATTAATGATGTTCTTTGGTGGGATAAGAAATATTTGGCCAGAAACATACACAAAGGTTAAAGTGGTGAAAAACAAGGAGGTGCAGGTAAGCCAGCTATAAAAGTACAGGTTAGCAACCAGGAAAATCATGAATGCGCATGAAATCACTCACAGGATGTAAATTTATGTATTATGAAAACTCTTATCAAAAAACTACCAGGTAAGGGGTGAAAATACATATCAATAGTCTTGGGTAACTGTCCTTTATATAAAATGCAAAATAATCTACTTTAATCAATCTACTGCATTATACAAATGCCCATCCTCACACATATCAAACTATAAGACACTCCCATTTGAATAGAATAAAAAAATAAATCTGAACTTACCCTAGGATGCAAATAATGCACCCAGACAACCATGCTACCACGGACGGAGAGGTTTTGGTGGCAGTGTCTATCTCGGAATGGCAATGTGGACAGATCATGTGCGTTGACTGCGATCCCAGAGGAACCACTGTTGTCACAATAGCAGTTGGGGCAGCTACTTGGAAAAGAAAACTTAATGTTAGGTCTGAATAAGAAAAAGACAATCATTATTGTAACTTCAGTTGAAAAGGGATGAGTAAATAACTAAATACACACCCACACACATATTGATACATACTGCCATATCACATACCGAGACTAACTAATGCAGATTGGCAAACTTTAAGAAATGGATAGATACATCAATATGTAGGGAGACACAAAAAAACAAGATACATTAAAATGCAGATAGTTACATGTGAAATATAATATATATATATATATATATATATATATATATATATATATATATATATATATATATATATATATATATATATATTATATATACATATTATATACATCTCATAAAAAAATTGACAGTAGAAAATATGTTATTTACTAATTAATGAATCACTTATTTCCAATATATTTACAAAGTACTGCCCAAAAAGATACCCTATTTTACCCTTCTGTTCTGAAAATATCTCTGAATGAGAGTGCATTCTTTGAACTGAATAAATGGGAATTGCCTTCATTCATTGTTCTAAAGAAATCTTCCATATATAAAGATCTAACAAAAGAGGATGAAGACTCCATTCCCCTCTCTGCACAGAGTAGAATTAATGATGAATATGATGGTAATATCGAAACTTGACACTGATGGTCAAGAAAGAGCACATATAAAAAGAACTCGTCAATAATCCATACACTACTTCAAGCACTGTTTATATTGAAGCAAGAAGGTCTAGCTAGCCCCCCTAAGTGCCACATCCTAAATTACACCTTTATAGCTCTGGTTGTAGTTTAAAATTGCTTCTAGAACAGTTAAGTTTTAAAAATTTTCTCAGGGGGGTATGCAGCATCTCAAAACCTGATTTTGCTTGCTTCACTCACCAGCCTTCCCCTACACAGAAAAAGCTGAAATGATGTGCTTGATAACACAGAAAAAGCTGAAATGATGCCCTTGAATTAACAAGTCTCCTTACTGATCACATCACAAACAATAGCATATAAGACATATATCATGAAACATCATACTGAATAGACTTTTCCTGGAAATAGATAAAATCAATTAAAAAATAGCATATACTTTATAGCACTAGTGCATACAGAACATACTACAGATGCATAGAATGACCAAAAAACTAGCAGCACAGCACAACCAAGCATATATCATCCAATTTGGTGCAATTTGGAGTGGAATACAGAGATCAAAATAAGCCAAAAAAAAAAAAAAAAATCATCAAATATAATCCTGGAAAAAAGACAAAGACAAAACAAAAATGAGGGAAAGGAAAGAAAGAAAGACATAAAATAAGGGAAAAATAACTGTGCACTTCTTTTTAAGTGAATTTGCTCATGCTTCAATATCTACACCTTTCTATTGCTCTTTTTCATCAGTGCTGTGAACTTCCATCTCGGATATTTATGAAGAAACAAAATTTGTACATGAAACTCAATTCTTAAATATAAATTAAACATTATTGATAGGTAGGTTCATGCAGACAGTAAACAACCTAATAACACAAAGAAAAAGAAGAGATAAAGTAGTATGTAAAATGATAGCCTATATAAATATAAAAGAAATAGAAGAAGAAGAAGAAGAAGAAGAAGAAAAAGAAGAAGAAAAAAAAAAGGATGATTGATGAGTAAATATATATAACATGAATATAATCCCATTTCCCCCTTTAGGGAAAATTATAAAGGGAATGCCATTTTAATAGCGCAACACTATCTTTAAATTGGCTGAATACACCAAGAGTAATTACTTCTATAACTTCTGCGAATTCAAAAAGATGCTGATTATGACAACAAAAATGGTAGTGGTGATGAAAATGAAAAAGTAGTAATGCCAATAAAGATGAAAATCTCAAAACGACAATGACTATGGTGATAATAATATATAGGAACAACACTAACTATAAGCGCTAATAATAATAATGATGATAATAACATTAAGTATAATAACAATAACAATAAAATAATAACAGTAATAATACCAACAATGATAATGAGGATAACAAATCTCTCACAAAGCAAGTGCTTCACAATACACTACAACATTTCAGGCAAGCAGCAACAAATTATCCAGAGAAGAATTTGGTCTCATACGACGCAACACACCATTTCCAAAGGGAGGATACGCAGTGGACGTAACTTGTGCACCGTACTGAACCCCCTGAACTTCTACCCTTTGTGGGGGCACATACAAAGGAGCCATGGGGACGGCACCAGCTGCGGAGGGGAAGTAGGAAGGAAAAGAAGAGAAAAGAAATGGTTCAGTCTTGGCTGGAAATCGTTCGCACACGATTGGTTAATCCTACCATCATAATTCTTTCTAAGAAAATATAATTTGGTTATTCAAACTTTTTGTAACCTTAGAAAAAGGGTCTTGTAATTCTACTGACAAAAAATATAACATCAATTCAGATGTAAAGTAAAGAGATTCCCCCATTTCCTTTTCTTTCTATCTTTTATCCTTATTATTAACCCCAATTTCTGATGGGATAATATCCTATCATGTCATGGCAGACTATCCCTCATGCTGGGATGAGTGCCTGCTCCAAGTTGTGCACACTAAACAGTAGTGTGCTTATCTAGCCCTGGCTGAGAAGAAACAGCCTCTTGAAAGCAGACTTAAAGTGTCTTTTTTCCTCATTATCTAAAAAAATTG